TGGAGAGGCGTCTCGTCGCCGCGGCTGGATGGTCCGCTTCGGGCAAAACGCGTCGGGGTCGGGCCCGGAGGAGAGGTCCGGGGATCGCTGCTAGGAGCGGACCTGCAAGACGAAGCCTGGACGAGGACAAAGTCGGTTGAGGATACATCGGGAATCTCTGAGGCGGATCTGTCAGACGAAGCCAAGACGAGGACAACATCGGGGGGCGATACATCGGGAATCTGTAAGATCCGGCCGCTCTCGAGGATGTCTCGGGCGCCGCGGCCTTCTCAGAGCGTTCCGGAACGGATGGTCCTCGTCCTAGCCCCGTCTGTATCTGGGCTGGGCGGAGGGCCGCGGTTGTCTCAATCCGGGCGGGCCTGTTGTTCTGCCATGGAGGTTGATTGGCTTGATTTCTTTGAGCGTTCGGTAGCAACACGCATGTCATCTCGCACTGGTAGCGCGCCGTCTTCACGGAATGATTCAGGCGTGCGTCTGCATGCACAAGACACGACAAATTGGAATGGTGTGCATCACGGGTGGGCGTATAACGTTGTCGGGGGGTCGGATGTTTTTGTGCACCACTCTTGGGTGGTCTTCTAGTCTTTGACAGGTCGGCCGCACGCAGTCTCGACCGAGTGTGGCCCTTGCCTGCGGGCAGTTTTCGAACGGAACGGCTCGTGCCTGGCGCAGGAGCGCGACCGAGGCCTCGGTCGCCGCGCACTCGCGCAAGAGCTTGTCCTCGTCGATGACCTCCCGGTGGCGGCGCAGGCGGTGGGGATTGGGCGCCGCGTAATGGGGGGGTCATAAATGGGGGGGTGGCGAGCGCGGTCCGAAAAGGTACCCAAACGGTACCTAAACGAGCCCCCTGGGGCTCTGGAGGGGCCCGAAAGGGGCACGAAAGGGGACCTTTTCTGACCCCCCCATTTGTGACCCCCCCATTAAGCCACGCCCAAGGGGAACTTTGGATTGCGCGTCGTGCAGCCGGTTGGGGCCCACAGCGCTTCGGCGCAGCACGCTGTTCACTTCCCAGCCCCCCGGGGCTTCCACGTCCCGAGCCTTTCCCAGCCTCCCGCCCCGCGGAGCGGAGCGGCACGCTGATTGCCCACTCGCAGGGCATCGCGCGTCCTCGAGGCCGCCCAGGCGACGCGCTGAACGAAAGTTCCTGACCGTATATTTTCAGTAGGGAAAGAAACACACAGACACAATTAATCGTCGGTTTCCCAGAAAATATGGGGAAATATGCGAAGTGGGGGGGAAGACAAAAACCCAGAACATATGGGAAAACATGGGGAATATTTTTTTTTGTGTGTATTTATTTGTGTGTCTTGGGGCTCCTTCATAGTTGCCGATCAAGGTAGGACAGTCAAGCCGAACGATGAAAGCACTCTGATGCAAGCCCGATGCTGAGAAGATACCTTGCATCAGAGTGCTTCCATCGTCCGGCTTGATCGTCCTAGCCTGATCGTGGCGGCGTAGATCTGCGGGCCCACCGCTCCACTGGCTCGCCTCCGAAGAGCTGCAGGGCTGCGAGAGCGGGAGAGCGGAACTCTCGCTGGGCGGGTGTCCCTTCGGGCAGGGGGCCCAGCAACTCGCGGTCGGAGCGCGGCACGTCTCGTAGGGCAGAGGCGGAAGGCGGCGGCTGGAGCATGGGTGGGTGGATCTGGCCGTGAGTCGGGCACGCCCCTCTACAGGAGGAAAAGCAAACAAGAGCAACAAAAAACAAACAGTCTGGGGATGATGTTGCTACTATAGTTTGCTATTTTTTGGCAGTTGGTTTTTTCCCCCATTTGTCGTTCCAAATCCGCCTGTAGGAGGACATGCACGACCTAAATCTGGCCTCGGGTGCCCAGACCCCCTCGAGTCATGGATCAACGCGACGGGGGGGTTGTCGCTATTCTCGGCATCCGGGGGCCCTCTGCCGGGCCCCGGGGCCGCCCACAAAGCCAACTCGGGATGAGGTGACACAGGGATCCTGGCGTGGGGGGTCTGGACCTGGGTGTCCGGCGGTCCGGGGTGGGGTGGGGTGGGACCATGGCACCAGGATTCGTTATTCCCCAAAAGAAGATGGCACCAGGATTTTGTTATTCCAGGACACGCACGCGCGGATCAATGCGTGTGGGTCAGCGACGGGTCCCACTTCCGTGCAGACTCGGCGCGCTGCGTCGCCAGAGACGGGCGCCACGTTTGCGGTGGTGCCTTCCCGGAGCCGTGGCTCCGGCGCCCACGCGCCAGGTGTACGGATCCCCAGTCTCCGTGCTGGCGTGTGCCCAATGTACATTACAGACCAGAATTTCGAGATGTGCAGCAGGAGAAAACGAATAATGGATCAGATAGGGGGCCACATGCGAACCCTACCCCTACCCCCCACGATTAGGCCGAGCGGTCATCCCTGGGTGCGTAGCTGAAGTGGAGTTCCGCGGCGCGGATCATGGCTGTTGTTGGTGAGTGTGAGAAAATGAACCCATTTTGCTGGTTGGACCCCCGCTTTGGAGCTCTCGCCTCGGCACTGGCTGCGGTTCCTGGCCCCCCGGCTACAGCAACGCTCCCGCGCGGCACTTCCTTACAATTTACTCCGAGATGCCCCGGCCAGAGAGGGACCGAACCTCAGGAAGGCCACTCTCTCCTGAAACGTCCCTGCAATTTGACACCACAAGCGGGTCCTTCAGAGCAGGTGCTTCAATGGCGCTAGTGTGTGTGTGTGTGTGTGTTTTGGTGCAGCCGATCCGTTTCGATGTCGTTTCCGTGCCAACGTAGCTTGATCCGATTCACAGTTCGATCCGATCTGACTTACCGATCCGATGCGGTTTAATCTTGGTCAGGGGCGAAGGAGAAAGAGGCGGAGGAGAAGGTGTAGGCAGCACGAGAGGGGCAGCTGACGCAGAGCAGATACGGCCAAGCGGGCGCGCGAGGGGGGCGAAGGGCGCGCAGATGCCCAGATGGACGGACTGAAAGCGGCCCGGTCAGGAGTCCTCCATCGCATCTGAGTCTTCCTCTTCGAGGGAGTCGTCCCCTTCGTCAGCGGCATCCTCAAGCACGGACGAGGACCGAAGAAGGCGGGATGAGAAGAGTGGCGGACGAACGGGGAGGTGGGGATTTGTGAGTTCTGCTGCCGCTCTGGATCCTGATCCCTTGAGTTTCCCCGCGGTCCCAGGGAACCTCTGGACGCTTCTGGAGGCCAGGGAATGGCCCAACAAGTTTCAACCATTACCGCAGCAAAGCACCTTGATAGCAACAGAGATGAAGAGGCGGGTCGAGCAGTTGGAGGTCGGCGAGTGAAAGCGCGCATCCTGAGGCACTCACAGGTACGCGGGAGTGAAGTTCTGGCAACACGAAGAGCCGGAAGAACACGGAGACACTGGCCATGTGCACCATAGAGTGTGTGTTTGTGTTTGTATGTGCGCGTGTGTGTGTGTGTGTGTTTGTGCGTTTGTGTGTGTGCGCGTGTGTGTGTGTGTGTGTGTGTGTGTGTCTGTGTCTGTGTCTGTGTCTGTGTCTGTGTCTGTGTCTGTGTCTGTGTCTGTGTCTGTGTCTGTGTCTGTGTCTGTGGCTGTGTCTGTGTCTGTCTGTGTCTGTGGCTGTGGCTGTGTCTGTGTCTGTGTCTGTGTCTGTGTCTGTGTCTGTGTCTGTGTCTGTGTCTGTGTCTGTGTCTGTGTGTGTTTTTTTCCCACAGGGTCGTGGCCGTCCGGGCCCAACATGCAGGCGGCATCGAGGCGAAAGCACGATGCCCGAGCACATCTGTGAGGCAGTCTCGCGCGAGCCGCCGCCAGAGACCGCTGATGGACCGCCGGCAGTCTCGCGCGAGCCGCCGCCAGAGGCCGCTGTTTATTTGTGTATTTATTTGTGTGTCCTGGGGCGCCTTTAATGTTTCGTCGATCACGCTCAAGGCCCTCGTCGCCACCGCGGGACTCGCTTCGGGACTCCTTGGTCAGAAGGCACCCTGGAGAGGCCCAGGGAGGAGCAGCGGCCTCGGCAACCTTTGGTCTCCACACCTCTGCCGCTCCTCCGTGGCCCCTCTTGTGTTTCGTGAAGGGAAACGGGCCGGTGCTGAGGCGACGAGGCCCCCGGTCTTTGAGCAGTCTTTGGCCCTCCCGGGGAGGGAGGAAGGACGAGGAGGAGGGAGGAAGGACGAGGAGGAGGGAGGAAGGACGAGGAGGAGGGACGAGGAGAGGAAGGCGGGAATGGCAGAAGGGCAGGAGGAGAGAAGCAGGCACGAGGAGGGAGGCAAGAGGGGATGAGGATGAGGATGAGGATGAGGATGAGGATGGTGTGATCCCTCCACGGGCCGGGGGCGGGCGGCAGGCCGTGGCCCGGCCGCGGCGAAGCCCGGCCGCCCCAGGACTCCCTGAGCCTCGCAGACGCGCCGAAGCCTGGCGAGGAGCGGGGCGGTCGTCGTCGTCGTGGTCGTGGTGGTCGTCGTCGTCGTGGTCGCCGTCGGCGTCGTCGTCGTTGCTCCTCTTGTTCGTTCTTCCCTCGTCCGCGTGGTTCCCCTCTGTCCTCCTCGTCCTCGTTGTTCCTCCTCGTTCCTCGTCCTCGTTATCCTCAATTCCTCCTCCTCCTCCTCCTCCTCCTCTTCCTCCTCCTCGTGTCTCCTCCTCCTCCTCCTCCTCCTCCTCCTCCTCCTCCTCGTCCTTGTTACTCCTCGTTCCTTCTCTTTTTCTCCCCCCTCCTCCCCAGTCCCACCACGTCCTCTTCCATCCATCCCCTCGCACTTCCTCGCTCCCCCCCCCGCCTTCTTCTTCATCCTTTGTCCTCCCCCTCATAATCCTCCCTCCGCCCTCCTCCTCCTCCTCCTCCCTCCTCCTCGCCCTCCTCCTCCTCGTTCTCCGTCCTCCTCCTCCCTCCGTCCTCCCCTCCTCCCTCCTCGCCTCCCGCGTTCCTCGTCTTGCTCGCCCTCCTCCTCCTCCGCCCTCCCCCCCATCTCCCGTCCTTCCCCTCGTCGCTCCTCATCGCTGCTCGTCCGTCGTCATCTCCCTTCCTCCTCCTCGCTTATCCTGCCCTCGTCTTCCTCTCCTGCTCCTCCTCCTCCTCTCCTCCTCCTCCTGCTCGCTCCTGCTCCTCCTCCTCCTCCTCTTCTCCTCCTCCTCTTTCTCCTTCCTCCTCCTCTTTTCCTCCCTCCTCCTCCTCCTGCTCCTCCTTTTCCTCCTCCCTTCTCTTCGTCGTTCTCCTCCTCCTCCTCCTCCTCCTCCTCCTCCTCCTCCTCCTTCCCACTTGTCCTTCGCCTCGTCTGCTCCCCCCCCCTCACTCATGCTCCTGCGTCTCCTCGATTCCGTGTGTCGCACTGGTACGGTCGGGAACTTCTGGATAGCGTGTCGCTCCGCCAGTTCTGGCCCACCACGCTTCGGCGCGACACGCTATCCACCTCCAGTACACAAGCGTCTTCGTCCCGTGTTTCCCCGAACCTCCCGCCCCCCGCGGAGCGGAGCGACACGCTACCCACTCGCAAGGCACTGCGTGTCGCCGGGGCCGCCAAGGCGACACGCTGTCCAAAAGTTCCTGACCGCAGAGCCGGCTCCTGTTCCATACGGAGGACGCTTCCACGGCGCGGGTGGGCGGGCGGGCTCCTGGGAGTTCCAAGGGGCTCCGAGGCGACTGCTCTGCGGACACCTGGGGCGGGGTCGCCGGGAACGGGCAGGAGGTGTGCACGAGCTCGGATTCGCCTCTCGGCTGCCCTCAGTAGCCACGCGCTGGAGCAGACGGCCTCTGCCTCGCCGCCGCCGAAAAAGAGGTGCACGAGCTCGGGCGAGCCGCGCGGAGGGCGCTTCCACGGCGTGGGCGGGCGGGCGGGCTCTTCTTGGGAGTCCCAGGGGGGGCCTTGAGGCGGCTGGTTCGCGGACATCTGGGGGGGCTCGCTGGGGGCACGGGCAGGATGTGCGTGTTTGTCAGCTGTGGCGCGCCGCGGGAGCGCTGGAACGCCATTTGTTGAACTTTTTTTTTTGCCCACGTCCTACATGAAGGGCTTCTTGTTTTCTCTGGACACCCCGCGCAGGATATCACCACCTCTGGTCCTCATCGTCATCGTCGTCGTCATCATGATCATCATCGTCATCGTCATCCTCCTCATCATCATCACCATCCTCCTACTCTTCCTCACCATCACCGACATCATCGCCATCACCTCAATATTCTCCATTGTCATCATCATCAGTACCACCACCATTACCATCATCATCGCCTTTATCACCACACCGTTGTCATTATCATCATCGTCATCATCATCATCATCATCATCATCATCATCAACATCATCATTATCGTCCTCTATATCGCCATTGTCACCATCATTTGCATGTTCATACGCATCCTTGCCGTTGCCATCATTACCATCATCATGTTCGCAATCGGCATGTTCATCCCACACATGCACAAACCCACACCCACACTCACCCGTACACTCACATGTGTATTGGAGTCCCGTCCCTATGAGCAACCGTTGTCGGTGAATCGCGACCAAGTCTCGAACGGGAGCCATCTCCCTATGTCGCCCGCACTTCATGTTCGAATCCGAGGCGGGTCATCCGACAACTTTCGCCGGGCATTGCGCTTGAGCACACAAAGGAGGCAAATTGTGAGAATATACCGAAGGAGTTTCGAGCGGGATCCCCGTCCCGATGGGGCCCGCACTTCATGTTCGAATCCGAGGCGGGTCATCGGAAAGCTCCACCAGGCATAGCACTTGAGCACCCCAGCGAGGCAAATTGTGAGTGTACAGCGAGAAAATTCGAGCGCGGTCCCCCTCCCTATGATGCCCGCGCGTCATGTTCGAATCCGGGGCGGGTCACCGGACAATTTTTACCATTGCGCTTGAGCACCCAAAGAAGGCAAATTGTATGTATAGCGAGAAAGTTCCGAGCGGGATCCCATCCCCTATGGGACCCGCACTTCATGTTCGAAATTGAGGCGGGTCATCGGACAGCTAGGCATGGTACTTGAGCACGCCACGGAGGCAAATTGTGTGTAACAAACAAAGAAGTCTCGAGTGGGAACCCTGTCCCGATGGGGCCCACACTTCGTGTTCGAATCCGAGGCGGGTCATCGGAACATTCTACCAGGCATTGCTAGCACTTGAGCATCCCAAGGGGGAGAATCGTCAGGATGTAATCAGGAAGTCACGAATCGAGCGGGGGCCCCCTCCCCATGGGCCCCGCACTTCATGTTCGAATCCGAGCAGTCATCGGACAGCACCACCAGGCATAGCACTTGAACGCCCCAACGAGGCAAGTTGTGTGTGAATGGTGACGTTGTCTCGAGGGGGACCCCCTTCTCTATTTGGCCCGCGCTTCGTGGTCGAATCCGAGGCGGGTCATCGGAACATTCTGCCAGGCATAGCACTTGAGCACCCCAAGTAGGCAAATTGTAGGTGTATAGCGAGGTGCCTTTGGTTTTGCTGCAGGCCGTGGAGGAGTGTAGCGCGGTTCGCGGCGACCCCGAGGCGGGCTGGTGCCTCCTGAACGTCCCGAACATGCACAAGACGGGGGACATCCACTACGTTTTACGGGCACACGTCAGCATGAAGGTTCGGCTCACGGTCGTGCAGGGAGAACTGAAGAAGAAGTTGGGGCGCGTCCTTCGAATTTCACCACGAGGACGAGCGGAAGTCCGAGGAGCGCGCGCCGGGCCAGCTCTTTCGCCCCCGCTACCTGCCGCAAGGAATATCGCTGAAGGCTGACGGCTTCAAGGATTGTCCGATCTACAGGGAGGTCGCCGGGATGGTGCTACAGAGCGCCGAAGGCGCCGACGACGACGGCGAGGCTGAGGCGCGGGCGAGGGGTTTGCCCATGCTCGGCCCAGCGAGCTGGAGCTCACGCGGCCCAGCTCGGGGCCGCGCGTCGTGCGCCGCTCGAGGTTCGCCCCGCGGGGCGCGCGAGCATGTCGGACGGGCAGCGGTGGCTGCACCCCTACGTCACGTTTTCCCGCACCACGGTGATTCGGAATACGCTGGTCTTGCGGCCGCCCTTGCGAGGGCTCCGGGTAGCGAGCCGCCTGCGCCCCTGCGGAAGGCGTTCGGGAAATTCGACAAGAGGGCTGCGAGTTTCAGGCCTGAGGCGGAGCAGCTTGCGGCAGAGCTAGCTGTTTCGCGCTGCCTCCCGCCTCAACGCGGCCGCGACGAGCTCGAGGAGGTGGATGGGGGAGAGGAGCCAGAAACACAAAGAGCATGCAGAGCCTGTGGCGGGAGCAGGGTCTCCGCTAGAGTGGAATGGAGAAGGGCGATAATAGCCCAAGAAGAGAGCCTCGGCGTTCACAAAGATGGCGATTCTGAGCATTTTCGGATTAGTTTGGGAGATTATGATACGGGGTCCTCCCGTTGGGTCAAGCTTTCTTGAATTATCCTGGCGAAGGACCCACCCATATGCAGTTGTGACTAGCTCAGTGGTAAACACTGTCTTCGGTCGAGTTCCCTATGGGGCCACGAACCTTGTGAGGGGTGCGCCGAAATGGGGGCGGAGCTGCATGCGAACTTTGCCACTGGGGCCTTTGATGGTTTTTTTTCTTATGGGGCCACGAACCGTATGAGGGGTTGCGCCGAAGGGAGTGGAAGTGCATGCGAACTTTGCCACTGGGGTCTTCGGTGGAGCTCCCAATGGGGCCACGACCGTGTGCGGGGTGCGCAGAAATGGGAGTGGAACTGCATGCGGACTTTGCCACTGGGGCCTTCGGCGGAGCCCCCTATGGGGCCACGAACCGCGTGGGGGGCGCCGAAATGGGGGCGGAACTGCATGCGAACTTTGCCACTGGGGCCTTTTGGTGGAGCTCTCTATGGGGCCACGAACCGTGTGAGGTGTGCACCGAAACGGGGGTGGAGCTGCATGCGAACTTCGACATTGGGGCCTTCGGTGGATTTTTTTCTGGGGCCACGAACCGTTCGTAACCGTGTGAGGGGTGCGCCGAAACGGGGTGGAACTGCATGCGAAATTTGCCATTGGCGCTTTCGGTGGAGCTCCCCATGTGGCCACGAACCGCGTGAGGGGCGCGCCAGAATGGGAGCGGAACTGCATGCGAATTTCGCTTCTGAGGCCGGCAGCTACGCTACCTATGGGGCAACGAACCGTGTGAGGGTTGCGCCGAAATTGGGTGGAACTGCATGCGAACTGTGCCATTGGGGCCCTCGGTGGAGCTCCCCATGGGGCCACGAACCGTGTGAGGTGTGCACCGAAACGGTGGTTTCAGCTGCATGCGAACTTCGCCATTGGGGCCTTCGGTGGAGCTCCCCATTGGGCCACAAACCGTGTGAGGGGTGCGCAAAAATGGGGGCGGAACTGCATGCGAACTTTGTTACTGAGGCCTGCAGTAGAGCTCCGTTTGGGGCCACGAGCCGTGTGAGTGGTGCGCCGGGGTGGAACTGCATGCGAGCTTTGCCGCTGTGTTCTTCGGTGGAGC